GCCTCCCCCGGAGCATCACCTTGGCCTTCTTAAATCGCTGCAAGGGATTCTCCGCAACTCTCCAGATGCCCAAGTATTTCTCGCCGGCAGCCCTTACGTGCGGTGTGAGGTCGAGAAAAAAAATTTGGATGCGGGCATTGTGCCCACAACTACCAGCAACCCTGACGTCAAACTATTCGCCATGAAGTTAGACAAGGACCCCGAGCCTGTTGCAACTCACAATCGTTTACAAGAGGACATAGTCTAATGGAGAACGCCCCGAAGGCCGTTTCCGAAACGTGCGTAGTAATTTCTACGCCAGTGCTCAAACTATCTACTAATCCTTGTTCCTAGATTTCTTCAGGTTTTACTCAATATTAGTGCGATACCAGAGGAGGCAGCAATCCACAAGAGAAGAGAAGACCTTGACAAAATCGCAAATGGCAAGGGTTTAGGTGATGCATACGAGCCGATAATCGAGCCAATCGAGGCCCGGAAAGGGGGAAGATCAGAACTAGGAATAGAGGTTTTGATGTGGGTGGCTCATCCGAGCGGCCGTTGCGGGCTGATGAGCTATGCCATACTCTCGGAGTAGAGACAAGGTCCGGAGATCTCAATATGCACAATATCCCTTCGATACGGATATTTCTCGGCTGCTCACTGGGGGCTGTTACCCTCAATACCCTCCGCAGTTGTCCTCTTGGTTCACTCTCTTTCTTCTGCGGGAGTATCTTTACTCCAATCCCACACCATTCCATAGCCCTCATGAGATGATTGCCGAGGTTTGATCAGGCTATATTAACCTCCAGTGGGCCAAGGGCCTGTCGCTTGCTCTCCATGTTGCCCCCCCAACTTCCCCCTTTATCAGCTTCGCGTTAGAATGCATGCTCGAAGGGAAATCACAGACAGTGCAAACTCAGTCGTACTCAACCTGTTTGGTAAATATGAGAACCCCATATCGGTTAAGCTCCTCTTGCAGAATCTTCACACCTCGCTATGGACCGTCGACAACGGAAGCCGTCCCAAGGGATTCATCGGACTTCACGGAACGGCATGTCTTGGTATCACAAAAATTGCAACTGCTCCAATCAAGTTGAAAATTGGTATTTTAACATCACTGACCTCACCGGAAGCACGGCAGTTTCGCTGGCTGCCAAATGCCGGAACGCAATAATCACAAAAATGCTACTCGACAAGCATTCAAGAGGCTATTAAACCGGGAAGAATTCGGTCCCACAGCCACAGATACAAAATGGGGCGAAACACCAACTTTTGTGGGCTACTGGTGGGGTCAATGAGGAACAGTGAAGATGCTCCTAGAAAAGGGAGATTCTAATCCTAATCTGGTGGACAGCAAGGACAGGGTACCGCTCTCGTGGGGCGCTCAAAGTGGACAGAAGGGAGTGGTGGTGATTCTGCTCAAAGTGGAAGGCACCAACCCGGGTACAGCAGATGCCAGCGGCCAAACCCCACCCGTGTGAGCTGCAGAGAATGGAAATGAGGAGATAGTCAAGATTTTATCCTAACATAAAGATGCCAATCCCAAATTGGCGGGGACAAGATATCAAGCCCCACTCTTGTTAGTTACGGAGAAAGGACAAGAGGAAGCTGTAAAGATTCTACCCGGAAGAGAGGATGTCAATCCTAACTTAGTGGACGATGAAGGTTGGATGCCACCCTTGTGGGCGGCGAAGAACGGTAGCGCAGGAATAGCCAAGAGGTTGCTTGACTGCGAAGATATCGTCCCCGAGACTTCAGACACTGCATGGGCTCAAAAACAGCTCTCCTAGGCTGCTGGGAGAGGCTGTGAGAAAATAGTAGCGGCGCACCTTATACGGAAAGATGCCGAGCCCAACCGGGCAGGCAAAGACAACCGGACACCACTCTCTTGGGCTGCTGAGAATGGGCGGCGGGTGCACTGCACTGAAGCTACTACTCCAGAGAAAGGGTGTGGGCCCGAATCTGATGGATAAAAAGAACCGAACACCATATTTGTGGGCCGCTGGAAAAAAAAAGAGAAGGTTAGAACAGTGAGCTCCTACTCAGGATGAAGGAAATCGATCTGAACACAATAGACGATGACTGTTGCGCAGTACTCTAGTGGGCCGTCGAGAATGGGGCGAGTAAGTATGATAGCTGGGATGCTAAATTTACCAGCCCGGGAGCAGGTCAACCCCGATATTCAAGATATCAATTGTCGAACACACTCATGTGGGCCACTGCGATCGGGCCCAAAAGGGCGATTAGGAGAACATGAAAATGGCGGCGTCGATGAGAGCCAGCGAATGTGCTCATCAACTGGTATAGCTGTCGGGTAAATTCTCGGTGATTTGGTACATTTACATCAAAACTCCTCATTTCGAATGGTTTATAACAAGACTCTTACACTCAACCCAGGCAGAAGCCCTTCCAAAAACTATTCAGGCAGCACTATATGCATGCAGAGATCATCCCCCAACCCTCACAAAACCCTCCGATCCTTCGCCATCACGTTACAACTCATCAAAGATTGTCGTGAGGCGTTTCTGTAGGGATGATCTCAGGGAATCGATAATAATGACTTTTAAGAGATTGAACTTTACAAACTTGTACTGTACGACCTTCAGTGGGTAATGATCGTGCCTCAAATTAACCACGAAATACCGGTATTATACACAAGAAATAACTTTGAATCAGGCATTTGGTGATAAGGGTATACCGCTTTCCAGAAGCTACTGCCGATCAAAAAGCCAGGTTTTCGCCCATTTTCGCGGGAAACGGCCTAATCACCGAGACTTCTGCTCTCCTGCTGTGCGAAGCAATTAAGACTCAAGCGCACAAGGGATATATTAGCCAGGAAACCATACTTATGATTTCTTGTGCGATCAAGGATTTGACTTTCCCTCCCGCAACAGCACAGATCCCCTCCTTCTATCTTTATTTCTTTTTCAATATCAAGCTTTTACTGGTTTTTTTGGTTTTTTTCTGGGGGGGGCGGAACCTTAAAAGGCTAGCACAAGATAGTACCACATATAGAAAGTTTCCTGCATCAATCTGTCATCCCTACCGGATCGGACCGAGCGCCGTGTTGCACTCATTACACACCTGCGCTAGAACCCAAGACGTGCATTGCGAGGTTTCACAAATGCCCCAGGGCAGAAGCGCAAGGAAAGGCTCAGTCCAGTACCGTACCGCAGCAGCATAAGTACCGGTAGCGCAGATCACATGTGCCACCAGCACCAAACGAACAAGCTTATTACTGTGCATTACCTTATCGTACCTTTCCTCACGGTGCCTCACCTCACCTTCCCGTACCGTGCCACATGTTTCCCAGGACAGTACTTGTACTACCCGACGCACCCCAGACACATCCCTTTCGCATCCAACCGAGAAAATCCCTGAATAAGGCACAGTGCAGGGTCAGTGCTTGTAGAGCACTATATACCAGCACCCCCACCCATTTAAGCTACACCTCTTGCACCCCCCCCCCCCCCCCACGAATAGTAGCGACTGAACACCCGAGTGACATTCCATGACTACAGAAACATTCCCACGAGGCGCAATAGTTAAATCGAGCCGGGCCTGATCCTATATTTTATCCTATCGCCGTAATAGCTGTAGTACGTGACGGGGCTGTGGTCAGCATGGCTGGCGCGACGTGCAGTACCTACCAGAGAATTGAATCGAGAGAAGGCTTAAAAAAAAAAAGAACAAGTCATCCCCTAGGCAGTAAGTGCGCACAAAAAGGGTCTTGAAGAAGAAAAAAAAAATAGAAAGTATACACCTATCATACAGATACAAGGCTAGCGGCGGAGAGGGAAAGAAGGCGGCAAGTGTCAAAGGTTTTTTCCACTGAAACCAGGAAACGTCCACAACCCGCCAACCATACCAATCTAATGAAGCGATGTGAACCACATTTCTGCCTATATCTGGAGCAAACTCCCTGTACCGGTATATTATATTTCACTTTCCGATCCTTTCTTTAGAAACCCTGTATCTAAACCGGTTGAGGAATTTTGAAGGGAGCGATAGTTGGTATCATACTCGTACATCGGTCTTGGCGCATTCTCCGAGGGGATTTTTTTTTTGCAAGGGGAATGGACTGGTTTGGCGCTTTTTTTTTTTCCTCCTCTTCTTTACAATCCAACCTCACAATATTGCTTTGCCCAAGTAGCCAACAGTTCTTTAAGAATCTGCAAGTTCTTGGGGAGATTTTTCAAAGTCTTCTGAACCATATTATCAATTTTTCGAATTTTTTCTCCTCTATACAGATTCAGAATGCATTGAACGGGGAGCGTGAAGTAGCGTAGTTTAGGTTGCTACATGCCGTACCAATCTCCTTCCTCGACCAGAACTAAATTACCGGAGTGGTACTGTACCGTTGTTGGGCTGCTTCCTATGGTAAGGTCTAGTGTTTATGACACCTATTTCCCTATCGTAGCCCCTAGAAAGGCTGGTCAGTTTTTTGTTTTTTTTTGTGCCGGTTTTCACCATTTTCTAAGGTAGGGGATCATCGACTGCAAAGTATTATACACGTTTCGGTTATTCGAGCTGGGATCACATGGTGAGTTTCGGGCTGGCGTGTTATAAGTACACTGATATCTCGGGCATGATGACGAACTGCGAGTATGAGATATAACTTAACCGCGCATTGCGGTACCACGACTGGACTAGGCCAGACTACCGTGCTCAAGTCGCCGCAGGATTGAAGTCGCTCCCATCTTGGTGGTGACCCACCAAAAAAACAAAAAAATGCGACTCCGATCCGGCAACTTAGGTAGACTAAATTTTATTCCGGGCAAACGAAACATAAATTAACTTAAAGAGGAGAGGGGAAAAGGAAAGGAAAGGAAAAAAAAAACGCCCGAAAAAAAAAAGTGGCTCCAAACCGATTCCCCTGACCCACCGATTCCCGATCATTAATATCGTTGACAAAAGAAAGGTTTGCAGGCATGGCGGTCCACCGCCGTGGTTACAACTTCCTCCTCTTTGTTTAAAAGGGAAGAAAGAAAAGACAGAAAGAAACAATGTTTTTTTTATTTTTAGAAGCGCTTCAGGCCGACTTTTCTGGTTGCTGCTCCGGTCTTGCTTGACTTTCCGGATGCGGTGGACTTTTTGGCCGAGTCTTTCTTAGTGACGGGTTCCCTCTTAGCAGTAGTGACGGCCGTAGTGGTAGCGGCAGTGAGCGGCGAACGGGGATTAGCGCTCTGGCCCTCCCGCAACTTTGGTGACTTGCGCCCACTGTTTTCCGCGTCTTCATCAATTTCAGTACTGCCGGCGCCACCACGCGTCTCCTCCGCCTCATGCATCGAACGCTTCCCAAGCGGTGATGCAGGCCTCGCGGCGAAGCGCCTAGTCTCCGCGTTCTCTTTTCCCGAGTCACCGCCCTCGGAGTCGGAGCATCTCTCCCTCTCCTTCTCCTTGCCATTATCCTTACGGACGGAGGCGGATGGTTTAACCGCCTGCTTGATCTTCCTCTTCCGCTCGCCGGGGGCTTTCGGATCCTTCTTCCCAACACCTTGGTCCTCGTCCTCACCCCGCCTCCTTGCTTCCTCCACCAACCCCTTCAGTTCCTCCGGCACACCTGCGTGCACGCCCGCCATCAACCGCGCGTGTCGCGCATACCCTTCGTAGTCCTCCAACAGCAGTTTCCCGGCGGCTTCATTCAGCGAGCTGGTCGGGTTCGGGTACACCAACAAGCAGCGGATGGTAACGAGCACATCCTTCAACGTGAGCATGGGTTTCCAGTCGCGCTTCAGCGTGTCGACACACACGTCGCCACTACGTTCGTCAACGTTCGGGTGGAAGATCTTAGTCTTGAAGGAAGCCTTTGGCGGCTCAGTGGGATATGTTGGTGGTATGCGGAGGTGGATTTGGAAGAGGCCGGTCTCGAAGGGGGTCTGCGTGGGCCCTGCTAGGAATATTTGTAGGCTTGTTAGGTCGTCTGAGGCCGTGTTTGGCGGAAAGAAGTAGTCTGCGGGTGGCGCAATGCGGAGGGCGGAGTGATCTTGAGCGAGACGGCGGCGGTGAGAGGACTGGCGATATTGGTTAGTTATGATAGATGGTTAATGGGGGGGGGAAGTGACGGGAGGGGGAAGCGAACTTGCCATTTTTCTCGTGGTCCTGATATACGATAGGGAGAAGTTTTACGTCAAGATGGAATAATGTGGACGAAGCGGAAGCAATTAGCTCAGGAAGAAAAGACCGGAAGAGCCAAATAAATACTCCCCCCTCAGGAAGGACTGATGTTATTGTTATGGTGTTGTGGGTTTGGCCGAGGTGGTGGGGGTGGGGAGGGGGCGGGTTTGAGAGTACCCATCCAGCGCGCGAAGGACCAAGCCATGCATAAAGAAGAGGAGGAAGAAAAGTGAGTGAGAGCGCGTGTTTGTTTGCCAAGACATTCTCAAATGGGAAATTGCTTGAATCGCGAAGTCAACATGGCAACGGGGTGGGAACGCGTTGCTATCGCAAGGTACGAGTAGCGTACTGAGCACTGCCGGTAGGCTGAAGGAAATTGAACAACTTGCTTGCTGGCTTGCTGAGACTCTAGGAGGTGTGGCTGTGTTGCCAACGACAGGTTCGCCTAGCCCGAGTTCGGGCTCTATTGTGCCCAGGTACGTACGAGTAGAATTGCTCACAAGGTTCGGGTTGAAAAGCATGACGAACGCCCTTTTACTGTATCATACCGGCACCACCACGGCTGTCACTGCCAGACTGCTAGGAACGCGTACCGGTACAGTACAAGTGGGCTGCGGCGGGACAGGGCTAGCCACCGTGGTGTCGCATCGTATCGAACATACGGTACTCGGTACGAGTGCGGTGGTGTGCAAGTACAGAAAATTTAAACATCATCTATCTGGCAGTTATTCCCCGAGCAGATGGAGGTGAAGATTTGGGACATCTGATTTCCCGGGGACTCGGTGAGAAGGGGGGGTGCGGAGAAAAGCTGGCGTACTCGAGTACTCGAGTACACCGCGATATCGGGAAGGGGCACTCACTAGCTTGCCGACCCGTGCACACTCAACTCGTTGATCGGTTTCTCTATCTCCCTCCGCCTTGGTGAGGGACAGTTGGAGATGAGCATCCGACAATTCAGGTACCGTGTGTGTGCGCGTTATCTCCGCTATGGTAGACTGTCGTCTCGTTGAAAATTGTTCATCCATTCAGATATGCGGTGTGACATGATATCATATCACTGTCCGATTTGCCAACGAGGCTGCCCCACTGGCAGTGCGTGCTGTACGAGTACTCGAGCACAGTACCGTACAGTACGGCAGGGTGTTCTGCTGGTGCACAGAGACAACACGGAGAAGATGTTAAACGCCTGCAGCAGAGCCGTAGGGGAGGATCTTCCCTCTCCTTATTTTTTCCCCCTCCAAGGCCGCCATTCTCAAACAAGTGTGTTTCTATGTTTGGAACTTTTGCACTGTTCCTACCTATCAACTTTTCACCGTATCGTATCACTTTATATGGGATGCGAGACGTGCCGTACCATAAGATTTCGGAGTGGCTCTCTCTCTCTCTTTTTTTTCTTTTCTTTTTTTCTTTCCTCCCTTTTCAACTTGTTCTGACCGTCCTGGCGGACAGTACGGACAGATATCTTTGACGCAGGACACGCCGCTCTGCAGAAACACGTGTTCCATCCTCCAAGCGTTGTTGAGCCCGTTGTGCATTTTTTCTTCCCATTTTTTTTTTTTACTCGTTGAAAGTGGTGGGGTTGGAATGTTTTTTTTTAATCCATCAACCAACGACACAGGAGGATGGAGGAAGCAGCAGTTTGCCTGCCTGAGTACCGTACTCGAGTAGAGAGAGAGAGAGGTTTGGTGTCTGAATGTGTACCGAATACTGTATGTGGTGGTCGGCCCAGTGCTCCGGGGTGATTCCTGTTCCAAGAGTTTACCCTGCCCAGAAAGGCTTCCAGACTGGTGTCCCAACCCCGGACTGCGAAATGCAACTCCATCAAAGCCTAGCCTTTCGTGGACGCACTCTGATGGGAAACGGTTAGTTGGACACCGGCAGTGATTGACACACCGTTGCTTGCACTGTATGGGCGCAAGAGCTCCTTATCCGGAAGTGTGCGGACAGGGATGTGGCTCCCCGAATTCGAGGGCAATCAAAGGAGAGCTTTGGAGCACAGGGAGGAAGGGAGAGAATGGTCTGTCGCACTCGAGCACTCGTACCGCACTCTGGTTACCGGTATGACATTATTCGAAATGAAGGCAATTTTATTTAGTCGGATGAAGAAAGTTATGGTGTGAGGCGCAAGGTACGGCGCCGCACCTGGACCAAGGACTGGGATGCTCCTTCCCCAATTTCCCCTTCTATCTCCATGTTGATGGTATTGTACGAGTACTGTACGAGTACAAGTACTAGCACGGGTACCGTAGGCTGTTGCCCGCATTATAATCCAAGTTACGAGTACCAAACATCACGCTGCCTCGTGAGTCTGGGCAGCCGTTAGACATATCATGGTCTCCGCATGCGCGAGTTTTTTGGTGCGAGTGGTATATTGGGCTTCTCCGTCATCTAATTCTATATGCCCAGCGTCCTGTGAAGCCCCGGCAAATATGCACGGGCAGGCAAAAGACGGAGAGAGAGCTGCGAGAACCGTACCGTACTGCACCGGTACCGGTACAGTACTCCACTGCACTCGCAGGATCCAACTGAGCACGTCTGGATGCAGCTGAAATACGGTATGACTTCTGTGATGAAAAAGCGGCACCACTGCTACAGTAGTACGATAGTTGCTATGCACACTCTGGCAGACTCTGCTCCGGGGAACGATACTTGTACCGTACAGTATTGTGTGTGGGTTTGCTCACCCGAGACTTGGTGCACTCTCATCCACCCATGCACACCCTTGTCCAGCTGGCCCCTCGTCCTTCTCGTCGCTGTCGTCGTCCTCCACTCTTTCTCCCTCCACCACCCAGAACCAGCACATCTCACACACTCGCTCCGGCTCATTCCCTCGTCCCTTCCTCCTTCCTCCTCCTCCTCCGCCTCCTTCTCCGCATCTGCCTCCCTTTCTCTCCATTCTGTTCTGCTGTGGTCCCTTTTTTGCTGGCCTTTACCATAATACATACTTTTTTATTCACAATCATATCATACTAATTACTTTCCCTCGGGGCTCACCTTCCCTTGATCGGTGGAGAAGAAAAGAATTGCCCCGTGTACTGTACCTGCCTACCTTGTTGTCCCATGTCCTCCGCCGAACTATCGAACTGGGTGAGTGCTAGAATACTCGTGCTTTGCCATTTGCCATTCCACCCAATCCCTTTACACTTTTTTCCCTTTTCTTTGCACCTTGCTGCTGCTCCTCCTGCTTCTCGATGCGTTTTGTACACCTATCCTCCCCACCCCCCCCCCCACCTGTTTTTTTAGCTGACCAGTAGCTGTCCTCTCTCCCGCAGTCTCTCGGTTTACTGTGAAGGTCGGGCCCTGAGGGGGACAACTGCGCACACGGAGGACAGGACTGTCGACCTTCTTCCTCCGGGTACGAAACACGCAGGAATCCCTTAATTGGTCCCTTGCTGGTCTTCCCATTCAACGGAGCTAGAGCTGACCTGCAGTCCATTTCTCACCCGTCTCCCAACAAACAGTATTAATATTTCATCACGCGAATCTTCGCCCTCTCTCCTCAGCAGAATCGCATTGTCTCCCTCGTCCATCTCCTCTTCACGACTGGACTCCTCCCCATACTTCTCTCACTCCCCACCGCCCTCCTCGCCGCCTCTCCAACCCAGAGAGCACGAAGAAATTTTTTCCTTTCGTTCCCCCTCCCCCCACCCCGAACTTTCCCCTCCAGGTCAGGACGCGCATTCGCGATCTTGGTCCCACTCATCATCCAACCTAACCGCGTCGTCGCCCCAGGGGCCCACCCGACAGCAGAGACGGGGGAGCTCCCTTTACTACACTCCTGCTGGGAGCCACAGGAGCTCGAGTAGCCAGCAAACCCCGCTTGTTTACAACTCTGGTGGGAGTCCTGTCCTGAGACCTCGGGTTCCTTTGGGCAGGAGGGGTGCCGATTCTGCGAGCGTTAGCAGTGGAATTCACTCCGGTCCTTCGCCCACACAACGAAGAGCTGTGCTAGCTCAAGCACACTACTCGATCCAAAACAGGTATACCGAGGACTGGGTCCATCATCTGGGGTATCAGCAACACCGGCGAGGTGATAGCAGCAGCTGTTACTTTGGCTCGGAAGCCGATTCCAACGATTTCGGGGCACATCGTCGGAACCCTTCGAACGCAAAGACAATCACCCCGGCTGACTTTCAGGTGGAGGGGAATTTGAGGGTCCCCGAGGGTGATACGGAGTCTTCGGATAACGATATTGGCACGGCTGGTGGCAGAGCCTACAGGACGGCCCCGCAGTCATTGGTAGATTTTAGAGTCAACACACCACTGCCTCTAATGCCTGCACTACCGAGCAAGTGGGCCACTGAGGTTGATGAGGAGCCTGTGAGGAGCGGTGAGGTTGATAAGCCAACACTGGATTCACCCTTAACTCCAGGAGCGGAGGATAACAGTATGCTGCGGACACCTTCATCATCAACAACCGCCACAAGTGGCATTGTAACTACCACTTATGATAAATCGTTCCCTTTAAGCCGAACACAATCACCAAACCCGAGATCAACAAGAAAATGGAATGGAAAGACAGTAGTAATACAGATGCCATCGGACACACCCTGGGGTATAGAAGATGGGCGACCGATGCCCTTAACGAGGAGGGAAGTGGAGGATAGGGTGGGAGTGTGGGAATCAAGGGGATATGATTTACAGCCGGTCGGTGGTCAGAGCAGAGCAGTTTTTCCGCCTGAAGCCCCGGGCAAGTTTGAGGGAAGCGATGCCATAGTTAGCATTCCCGACCGAAGAGGTATTGTTGATCTTTGTTTCACCCTTCTGCTCAAGTGTAGGCTCGGGTTTTAGATTAATTGTCACCGCTTTCCGCCCTTTCGCGCTTATTGGGTGCTTCTATCTGTTTACTTACTTTTTCCGTTATAGAATGGCAAGCATATGTAGAAGGCTTACGGGAAGAGACACTCAGGGCGTTGGGTGTGCTGCCTGATGATGAGCCCTCGAGTGGTGTCTCAGGGGGTAGAGGTCAAACGCCATTGGTACGTGGATTCTTGTATGGTGTTGTTCTTATTGACTTCTAACACTGCCTGTGGACACAGTCTCACCAGAGCCCCGCCCAGTATAACATGAATTCTTTCCCCCCGCCAGCGCCCACTGCTTCTGCCATGAGTGGTGGTGCCAATGGGAACATCAATCACTTCTCGCCGTCCATGATGGCAGTCTCTGTAACACCGGGATACTCTCCTGCACATGTGCCTTCTCCCATGGGTGCTGCGGCTGCTATGCATAACCCCCACCTATCCTTCCACATGCCAAGACAGTCTATGTCCATGTCTAATTCTCCGATGGAACACGGCGAGTGGGCGCCATACTCCATGTTTACCCCACCTCCGCCACAGCCGCAGCCTACTCCACCCGTATTAAACGCTTCTGGTGTTTGGAGCCCGATGAGAGGTAGTTCTCCGATAGTGCAAGGATTATATAGCCATTCACCGGGCTATAGCCAATCGCCCAATATGGGTATGTACGGGCCTGGATATCCTGTGGAAGCAAACAACGACTATATGTATGGCCCTGAAGCAGAAGTAAACCAACGGATGCATCATCACAATCATCATCATTCCATTGTCGGCGTGGAGAGATATCACCAACAACAGATACGCCGTGGGTCTCCTTTGGCCCAAGTCGGACATCCGGTGCCGGAGGAGGAGGAGGGTAGCGCGGCTGCCATTCTTGATGGCCCTATGATCGATGCACCAGTACCGAAACACCGACATCAGCTCAGTATTAGTCTCCAGAAAGAGCTTGAAGGAGTCGAGAATTACCAGAGACAAAATGGACACCAGCATCGCCATCATCATCATCAGGGCAAAGCTGAGCCGAACCCAGAAGGATTCAACACAAACCCCGTGTCACCGGTTCCGGCCATGGCATACCCTGAGCAGCCAGAGATTCCGCATGTCGAGCACGATGTGCATAATGGACCGGAGTTACGATCAAATCCTGATGATGATGTTTCAGACGAGGAGACGGAGAAGATGCAGAATAAGAAGGCTGCACTGGCGCGGGACAGGGAACTTCAGATAGGTGTTAAGCGATACACCTATGAGGACAGTACTGTGTCGCTACCGGTTCCAGAGGTTCAGGTTCCCGAATCCCAGAACTTTAGCTCTCAGGAATACCCTCTGCCGCGTAGTAGGGGTAATTCATTGAACCAAGTGCAGCATGACTATGACATCAGTGATCCTCGACAGAACTCTGCCTTGGCGATGCTAATGTCCGGGGCCGGAATAGGTCCTGGGCCCGGTCGAAGTGGGTCTAGCGTGTTCCGCCCGCTATACCCTGGCGATGATGTATTGAGTGAGGATGAACGGACAAACCTTTCCGACGCGCTCACGAATCCGAGCATACCTACGAGCCCCATCAGAAAGTTTTCCAGCCCAGCAACTGCAACTCCACACACTAACACTCATACACGCCAAATATCCGGCAATAGCAATGCATGGATGTCTGATTGCGCGAGGCCCTCAGGATCAGTTACCTCGTCAACGACAAAATTCAACGCTGAAGCTAAGGAATTTAAATTCGAGCCTGGAGCCTCCGCCTTCAGCTTTTCCCCTAATACTCAACCTTTTGTACCGAGCTCTATTGCTTCTTCGCCGATCAGTACCCACTCTCGGAATCACTCGAGGAACCAGAGCGCTAGTGCTTTTGGTGGATTTGCCAATTTTGGAACGAGTAGCTTTAATGCTACCGCCACTACCTTCCGCCCCAGTTTCTTGACTGGCTCTCATACTGGTCTATTCGAGAAAGGGGCGGCTGCTTTTAGCCCCAATGCACCAACATTTACGCCGAGCTCTCTTTCTAACTCAGTATCTGCCCCTCAGCCTTCAAGCACCCCTTCCACCCTGCCGCCAATCTTTTCACCCGTCACGGAGGATGCCACAACGGTTAAGAAGACACCTTCGGTGGTCCGACCGCCTAATAGACTGAACGTGCACCAAAAGGCTGAGGCGGCAGCAGCAGAAGGAGTGAATGGGGATAGGAGAGATGCACCCACGGCTGATGAAGGTGGCCGGAAGAGAGCTAAACGTGGCCCGGTATTGAGCATTGTGAGGGATACTGAAGTGCCATCTTTGGAGAGCCTGACACCCACAAGGGATACTGTTGCCGAGCTTGATGCTGCCTCGGACGCTACTGCTGCAGTCGAAAGTGGGGGTGAAACCGAAGGAGAGAAATTAATCAAGGAGGTTCCAACAGTCTCCGTTGACAGTGGAGCTGGTTTGGAGGATTCAGGCTTCCAACCCTTTGAATTTAAGAACAGCGAGGACGTGGCAGGATTTGCGATTGCAGACCCTAGATGGGATGGGCCTTCCAGACGTGAATCACGTCCTGATATACTCACAGTAGGAGACCAGTTGTCAGTTGAAGAAGCTCAATTTATAGCTGCAGACACTCCACAAGATACCCAGTCGGAACACAACTCCACATCCCCGACCCCCCAAGTGACTGCTCCTCCTGTGGAGAAGTTCAACCCAGATGCACCGACTTTCTCGCTCAAGCCTGCAGCGCAGGAGTTTCATTTCGAGTTTGCCTCGGGTCCGAAGCCGCCATCGCCCTTGTCTAAGAAGCTTGGCGGGATGGCCGAATCGCGTTATGCTCACACTCCATCACCACCTCCATCTGACCCACTTCCGCCTCCGCCTGTTACCCACAATATGCCTACGTTTACTCCTCCGATCAACGATTCACCCTACCATCCAAGCTCGGATCCCTACAAGACCAACGCATTTGGCGAACCAATTACTAGGCCAATGTCTACGGATGAATTTATCCAGCATCTAGCTGTGTCTGATCCTACGTTTGCCGATCGAGATGTTCGGGAACCGGTTACTAGCGATGGCGATACTACCACTCCGGAGGAATCAGGACATAGGACCTTGTCTCCATGGAAGCGCGGAAGCCCGAAGGGGATGGGTATTCCCGCTTTTGATGAACAGACGCCCCAGCATGTGTTCAACTATCTGGACCGGAGCGCTGGTCCAAGTCCCAGTCCGAGGCGTGCCGCTGCGGTGCCACCTTACACCCCCCATCGCGCCTCATCTTTCTCCCCCGATGATGAAACTTATGAACACGCTCATACCACCGGTGAACCTAGCTATCAACCTCCTTCGCAAGAGATTGGCATTGCTAAGGAAGCTGATAGTGATTGGGACGATATGATATCTGCTAGTGAGGACGCTAAACTACGCCCCCAAAGCCGACTATTCTTTGATGCACACGTCGAGGAACTTGTTGGCGGACTTTTGCATGCCAGCCTCGAACCTATGAACAAGAATATCTCATCGGTCCACGACCTCCTGAAGACCTATTCTGGGTTGTATCCCGGGAGGGGAGGAGGAGCTATATCTACAGCAGCCCACAGCGATGCCGATGACGAGGACGATGCCGACGGCTTTCAGGCACCGAGATCTCCTAGGAAAGATCGAAAAGGTGAGATTCGGTCTGCGGTTGTCGAGGCTCTTACGATGCACAACTGGAGCGCTTCTACTGAAGACAAACTTTCCGAGATCTATGGAGCGATTGCAAAGATTAGTCGTGCTTTCCAAGATAACAATCTAAACGACGACTTGGCGGAGACCCGAGCCAGTATTTTGGAAGCTCTTTTGAAGATGGCCCAGTCTGAAGAAGTTGCGGCGGTGAAGGATGCGATAACCGCATCGGCAAAGACTGCGACGAAGACTGCTGTCGAGCTGGCAGAGTTCAAGGCGAGATTTATCAACTCCTTCAGCCAACTTGCTCAAGTGGACGATGTCAATGGGGTGCGAGATTCCCTCGAGGAGATGATGGCAAATGTTCCCTCGCCGCGTGATCTAGTCGATATCAGGTCGGGGTTGCAGGATATTCTTGTCAAGACAGCACAGAGGTGTGACATTGGTGAGCTAAGCGGTGCCGTTGCGAGAATGGGACAGGAGGTTGCAAGGAGAGAAGATTTAGAGCATTTCCAGAACATTGCTATTGATGTCTTCTCGAAGGTTGTTAAGAGCAATGACCTGCTGGAAGTGAAGGTTCTTTTGGGTGATATTCAAAAGGCGATTACTAGCATGAACTTTGCTTCCGAGGTTCAGAAACTCTGTCTCGACAATACTGCCCTGAGGTCAATGCTCGGGGATGTGATGAAGATGACACAGGATAGTGCGGAGAACATCGATTTCCACCAAGAGTCACAGGAGTCTGCTATCAAGGATAACTATGAAGCTCTACTGGAGAAGTTTGATACCATCCGCGAGTCCATCTCCGGCGTCACTAAACTGATCGAGGAACGCTCGCTTACGAACGGACCGCAGCAACCTGTGCCTCCACCAGCCGCCGACCTCGCATATATCAAGTCGGCTGTTGAGAAGATTGACCGAGGTGTTCAACTCAGTTCGGAGAGGCAGCTTGGATTGGATGACTTCCGGCAGGTTATTGAGAAGATGTCAGTTTCGCACCCAAGGCTCGAACAGATCAGGGAAGTGGTTTCCGATGCTGTCGCCGATGTTTCAGAATTGGGCGACATTAGGTCTATGGTAGAGGAAGTCTTTGAAACTCAGCCCAAGATGGACGATCTCAGACAAATGATGGAGGAGCTGTTCATGAAGCATAAGATAGAGGAAGTCGCGAAGAAGGTTTCGGATGTCAATGTGGAAGAGATGCAGTGGAATATGACTAGGCTGGAGAAAATGCTTGCTGAAACACAAAAGCGAGCGGATGAGGAAGCTCAGCTTAGAAGAGACTCCCGGGAAAAGGCCGTTGAGCTGGAGGCCAGGCTCCGGATCGCGGAGGAGGAGCGCGTCAAGCAGAGAGAGTTGGTGGAGGAAAAGGATCGCCGATTGAAGGCAACCGACGAGAAGCGCCACCAGACTATAACCCAAACTCAGATGAGAAGTGCTCTCTTGGAGGGTGCTCACTCCTCGCTCCAGAAATCAGTCACTGACCTCTCAGCCAAGAACACCACCCTTGAAGTCGGTCTAAAGGAAGCACTTCAGACTGGCGAACGCCTCCGGGAGGACAACAACAGATACGAGGAGGAGAACAGAGAGTTGAGGAGGGCCATCGACACTTTGCGAACTGAAATGGAGGAAAGTATTCGAGTCCGAGAGAAAAACCGCGGGAAATTTGACAAATTGCAGGAGGACATGACCACCGCGGCAGAAGAGATCGGAAAGGAGCAAGGCAAATGGCAGAAGACCTCTGAAGAACAGAAAGCCAAGATCGAAGTTCTCGAAGCCCAGTTAGAATCAGAGCTCACAGCGAAGGAGACCTTGGAGAGTGAGGTTAGGAGACTGGAACTTGAGCAAAAGGAGGCGATAAAGATGAAGGTTGAATTGGAACGGGTGAAGAAGGCTAGTGGGAAGATGGAGGAGATGGTGGAGGCATTGAAGAAGGAGGCAAGCGAACGGGGGCAGCAGATTGAAGAGATGGAGAACATCATTCAGGAGGACAGATCCAGCATCGCTCTACAAGAAGCCGAGAAAGCTAAGTCCACCGCCCTCCTAGAGCAGCAGCACGAGTATGAACGACAGCTCGGCATGATCAAGTCAAAATATGAGGACGAGGGTCACCTGATCAAGAGAGCATTGGATAACGCCAATGAGGATATTCAACGTACTAAAGACTTCATGAAAGAGCGCCTTAACATTGCTTCTTCTGAATCCGAGATCCTCCGCGAACATATTTCCCATCTTAGGGAACAAGTCAAGGTTGCTACGTCGGCCGCTCAGGCTGCCGCCCAGGCTGCTACATCTGCCAAACTACTCGCTACACCAGCCGCTCACAACGCATCCGAGGAGAGGGCACTTCGAGAGTCGGTCGAAGTCCTTCAGAACCAGCTTCAGCAACGCGAGGCCCGGATCGAGGCATTGGAACAAGAGCTTTCGAAATTTGATAAAGCTGACATCAAGCGAAAGGATGAGCAAATCACCTGGCTACGGGAACTTCTCGAAGTGCGCATCGACGAATTGGAGGAAATCGTCCACGCGCTTAGCCTTCCAAACTTTGAACGCGAGCGTGATAATATCCGCGATACTGCCCTCCGCCTGAAGACCAACCTGCAGATGGAACAGCAAGAAAAGGAACGTACTGAGCGTAGGGAAGCAAGTCCTGCCCCCAGCGCCCTTGCTGCAAGACTTCCTTCTGTCGCTACAAATGCGTGGGTTAGCTGGAGGGGCAAAGGGACCGGAACATCCTCACAAACACCCTCGCAAACCAGTTCCACACCTTCCCGCCCAACTTCTGCCGCTGGCTTCCTCGGCATCCTTACCCCCCCGAGCGCCTCCGCGGCGCTTGGTGGTGCTCGGGGACTCGGCTCGAGGTTTACAAGAAGTCCTTACACGTCAGACACTTCACACCAGTCACTACCCGCGCACTCCCTCCGCCAGCGCGAGAAACAACCTGCCGGCCGACGTCTCCCCCCACAGTTATTCCACAAGGCATCCTATGATGACGATGCAGAGTGTAGCCTTGGCCTGAGCCCTGGCAGAACACCCCCGATGGACGAAACGGACGATGATACCACGGAGCGTGGAGATGATGATAGAGACTCGGAGATGGGAGGGTATTATAATAGGCAATGAGTTGCTAGAATTTGCGAACTTGGGGATTTCCTTTTACTTATTTCTTTAGTCTGGGAGGTTAATTGATTTATATATAGCGCTGTCTTTTTCTGTTCCTTTTTTCTATACCTATTCCGCGGGTGGTGTATTTGGGATTGCGGATTGGCGGTGGTGGGAGATTTCAGAGATCCGATATTTGCTCTCATTCGTTTCTTTTCATTTTTCATTTTAGTTATTTCTTTTGTCTGTCATGATTGAGTCGGCGGATGAATGATAGCACGAGTGGAGATGGGAGGAGAGGTTGCGAGACCTTGAAAAAAGGGAGTTTTTTCTTCTTTGTTTTAACCTAACGTTTGTGATTCCATTCCATTCCCTTCCTTTTCTTTAATATTACCCTTTTTTCCCCCATTAAACTTTTCCTTTTAATTCTCCTGAATAGCGTTTTTGGTCCCCTTAAGCTGCCCTCCCCTTTTTTCTACTCAATATACCTTTTTTTCATTATATTTATTCTATCTATTTGTTATGCTTCGTTTTTTGTGAATAGTGGTTTTTATTGTGGGCGGGGTTGTACGGGATGCTGAGAGATTTTCTCCATGACTAATTCGGATTCAATTTGTAGCTTACGTTATTATCATTAATTGTCTCGCGTCTTCAGGTTTGCGCTAATTTGTGACACTTGCGCGTGGTGGACTATCATCGGTGCGTCTACTATCGTACTTGGCCATTTATGGAGTATTCGGATGCTCGCCACCCAGGCAGGTGCTAATAATGCGAAGGTGCCCGAATACTTTAAATTTATATGTGGCCAAGTAGCGTAAGCAGGCCCCCCTGCCCTGGTGAAGTATTGTTTTCCGGGCCAGACCGAGAATATGCAAAACCCCCATTTCTAAATTTAACATGACTCCCAACCCCAGCCACTTTTGCTCTTTGAAAATTTGGATGCCGAGAGTTTAGCGGATGGGTTAGTGAACAAGGTCTGGCCCGCCATGCGGGTGAAGCGAGTCCGTAATGCCTTGGTGTTGACGACTCTGACCGATTCGAAATACTAGTAATAGCTCCTAACCTGCCACCGGTATTTCTACTAGCGATGCTCACCGCACTCATTACTCCCCGTGGTGAGTGGATTGGAATAAACGCTAGTAAGCAAGGAAGAGAGCATGGGGTCTATCTTTATTTCATTCATTCGTATCTCTCCCAGTATTGCGGGTGTTGTTATGGAGGCTGATATCAGAAAGCGCAGTGGTAAAAGACCGGAATAGGATGGGACTTCGTTCTCGTAGGATTACTCTCATAAGTGTGTACTTCGTCAAGCCTCTAGCTAATCGGTAATGACAGGTGTATAAGTAGAACATCATCAAGGCAACCTGACCCCCATGAATCACTACACCCATCTCCGCGATTCCACACATTCCCGAGTTCCTCCGCCCACTTCCGTGATAACAAAGGAAAGAGATATCTCTAGAATCCTCTTCCAACCTTCAGACAAATCTATACCTCCAAACAGTGAAACGTACTCCCTTGGCTTCCAGAAACAACTTTGCCCTTCCAGCATCCTTCATGTGCCTTCCATCACCAACCACAACTCATGATCTCTATCGATTCCAACAACGGGGTCATCGATATAATACCGGGCTGCCCCCCTAATCTGTTTCGCTATCAGGCCCCGCTGCCTCAAAAAACGGGGCGGGGGGAGCGCGGTAAGCGGCAGCAGTCGACAGGTATATGGGGAAAAGGGTTCGCCGGGTGAAGATGAATAGTTATAATTGCTCTGGAGGGAGGGGGAAAGATATGATAAGTGAAAGACGGCAGTCCTACTGTTCCAGGCCCGGTGGCCTCCCCTTGCCGGCAATATCCACGAGTGGGCCCGGCAGGTATCGTATAAGTACCTATACGGCTCTGCTGTGACTTGTGGTCAAATATTTAGAACCGGTTGGGCCCGGTAATCTTCCCCGCTGGGAGGATATGATACCATGGGGATAGGGAGTTGCGGATCCTGTACGCTCGATGTTACAACAACTGACGAAGAAAGGTTGTCGAGAAAAGCAGGGGTTTAGCAAGGTTTTTAGAATCTGGTCCAGGTTTAGGAGGAAACTTGGAGAGAGCGCTGCGGTATCGGGGGCAGGGAAATTTTGTTAGTATCGGTTAACTAACTTGTAGGGATACCATATTCCTAACCTTATAGTATAACGCTGCCGGGTGCACTACTTCCACCCCTGCCTACAGTCGTATTGCTTCTACAAGTGCCCGATTCGCCTTCTGGTTCTTGGGAAAGTTTTCCCTCTTCATATTCCATCACTCGCTGTCATAACTTCCTTTAGCATTAGGGTATATTTGGAACTACTTTATTGCTGGGATATCTCAGTCACGAGGTGGCCTATTTGGTCAATGGGGTATCCTGTTAGTCAAGAAGAATACTTGAGAGGCATGGGACAAATACCGGTATATTACTGCGGCACACTACCTGCAGTAACATCCCCTAGGCGACCGTCAGAACTGCAAACACCCCCTAAGAATGCACAAAATCAGTACGACAGCCGTGCTGTAATGTGAGGTTAGAGTCCGCATCAAGTCAATTTCCCTTCCTAGCAACGTCCCCTCTCAAGAGTAAGAGTTTTGACAACAAAGTAGGAAAGCACATTTACCGCGGGTGGCTCAACAGAGCCTAAGGAGATTAGGCTGAGTTTTTTTTTCCACCGAGGGGTGTGGGGGGTTGGTCTTGCCGGATAGTTGCGTTGAGTGCGCTTTTTTTTCCTATTTCGTTTTATTCAGTTTTGGGTTTCTTGGGGAGGTTTTTTGATGGGATATGGTTGAGATGATAATTATGATAGGATTTTCTGAGGCTACCCCACCAGGTGGTGTGAGTTTTGAGGGCTAATATGGGAGGCAACTCTGGCTGTGGCGGGACCGAGGTGTGCAGGGAAAGAGTCTGGGAACGGTAAGATGGGGTAGCTCGTGATAGTGAACGGCATGAAGGCGAGGGAGAGGGTGATACTGAAATTGAAGAAGGTTTCATGATGGCCGGTGAGGAAGTTTCTCAGGAGAGGCGGGGTGATAGAATGACTGATGGGCTAGGATAGGTAGGCCTAGTATCTGATGGCAGAAGGAATGGAAGCAGGAGCCATCGGGGTGCAAGATTTGCCTGATACGGTAAGGGTACGTTTTCAATCCTCTCCGTTGTTTACTGAATCTATGGGGGCTGACACCCATTTTCCATAACTGGGAGTGCTTCTCAACTCTAGGATTTGGCTGGTGCATTCTCCGATAGGCATGAAGCTGCGGACTCATAGGGTCTTGAACCGGGGCGCCATCTGACCAACATAGACCACGGGAGTCTTTCCTCTTGGCGTGTTGAAGCCAGGCTTTGGGTACAGATGGCCCACTTTCTCTAGTTAATTTTCCTGGTTACGCTCGGCGCTAGGCATCGTGATATATCTCGTTTAAGTTATTGCTTTACTGATTTACAATAGGTTTTTGGTTGGGAAATAGCGACGGAATATCACAGCCGGCTAGCTTTAATAGCGGCGGGTCGCATCGGGGAGGGCCAATCGCCCGGGACTGCTGATATCTCGGAGCGTAAGCTCACTATCTGAGAATGAAAAGCAGTTGGGGTTATTGGTTCATGGTACGGGATATAACACCGCTATACACTCCTGCCGGAAATATTCTCCCATTTTCAGGATGGGGTTTTATGGCATCTTGGGTATCTCAGTGAAAAAAATTGCTCATTAGGAGGTCTCGTTATAGATTGTGAGGCCACTGGCAGTCTCGAAGGAGAGGCTAAATAAATACTAGACTGTACATTTACGGTGCGCGCGTTGTATAGCGACTGCCTGGTATATATAAAAAGTGCAAACCTGGGTAAAAAATAAATAAATCTGCCGTAGGGTGTGATGTGCTGGGAAATTACTATAAGAGCTTTTTAACCCATTATTTATACTGGCTATGCCTAAATATCACCCAGGGATGATGGTAGGAGAAGTTGGAGATCCATTCATATCCCCCATGTGGCAAGATTCAGTGGTGAACCCATTTCTTCTTTTGTTGTTTGTGCTTTTCGTATGATACTGGACTTCTGGGAAACAGCATAGCTGGAAATATATTTTGCTATGGTGTTGGGAAGATGCAAGGCCTGGTAGGGCTTAAGACCTGTCTGCGACCATGTTTCCATTCACCTCCGTACATGCCGGGCTCAATGGCTCCTGCCAGCCAATGGCGGGCGGGTGGACACCAGAGCTCGGGTTCAATGGCAAGCATAGCTAAGGAATATATCCCACGAAGCACAATGGTAATCTGCAATCATTGCACCACATGGCGTCTCCTTAAGCCCAATAGCCAAGTCTAGGCTTCGAACACATGCTCCATTCACCATTCACAGTCCCAACATTCCCAGAGCCCCATTGCGTTCTCATGCGATATCAAATTTCCTACAGTATATAATGTCTATCATGTCCTCCCTCCTTCCTTTCAATCTTCACGCGCGTCTGCCACCTTCATCGAGCATTCATCTTTCCGGTCAAAGCGAGGAAAACAAGCAATACTTTCAATTCTTCGGCATAAACCACCAACTATGAATACCAACACGCGCAACACCACCACGGCCGGGGAAAACTCCAGAACCCCTGCGGCAGGCTCCCAGGGGCTGATTATCTGTCCGAACCCGTTTACCAAAGCCAAGACCGAAACCATAGGCGCCCTTGAATATGGCCTCTACGGCATGATAAGAGGGAGTGGGGATATGATTAAGGATGCTATGGTTAGACTCAATGTGGCGATCGAGAAAAAGAGGAGAGGGAAGGAGAGGAAGCGGGAGAAGAAGAGGGAGAAGAAGAGGGAGAGGCAGAGGGAGAGGGAGAGGGAGAAGAAGAGGAAGAGGGACAGGGAGAGGGAGAGGGAAAGAGAGATGGGGAAGGGGAAGAGCGGGAATTCTACCACTGCTCTCAACGCCGGATGGCCAATGCCCGGGGATCTTATTCCGCCTGCACCGGCAGCTTCTCATACGTCTCTGGATATCCCGAACGTTGCGAAAAACTCCACCACCGATACGGTCCAGAAAACAACCAATACCGGGGCTCCCAGCAAGGCACGCCAAGGACAATACCGGAGTATGCGCATTATCGATTTGGGGAAGAAGTCCGCGCAGGGGGGGGAGGGACCTGCCACGCCTGAAATGACGAAGACACCCGAGGTGGGACCGGTGGGTCAAATTGTGGAGGAGGTTTCTTCCGAGGAAAGGTCCCCGGTTCTGAAGCCCAGAGGAGGCGCTGGAGTTACGAAGAAGACTGATATGGGAGGTTTGAGGGGTAGAATTCCTACGAAGGCTAGGTCTGAGGCTGGGATGGAGAAGGAGGTGGAGAATCAGGCCGTTACCAGAACCACTGCTACCTATAAAATCATTAAAGCCCCCCGCACCGGACTTCCCGAGGGAGCCAGAACACCTCACCGCAGACTCCTTGTCATCTTCAAGCGGTCGAAGCTTGAGCAGGAGGAGGCTGGACCTTCTAGGGCTGATCTGGTCAAGAAGGGGAAGGCAGCCGAGAAGGGGTTGAGTGGTCTGAATGCGGAGGCCTCCACCAAAGCCAAGTCCCCTGTTATGAAGCCTAGGGCGGGCGCAGGGGTCACAAAGAGGGGAGGCAAGGGCGGTGCTCGTG